CCCGCTTCTGCGCGCAGCCGGGGGCCTCCGGCCGCGCCTCGCTCTCCTCCCGGCCTGCGTCGCCTCCCTTTTCTCGGCAGGCGGTGGGGATTAGCTCTGTCTTGGCCTTCGGATCTTGCCCCCCGCTTTTTTTCCGGGTGGCTGTGCGGGGCAGGCACGTCCCCCCACTTCCTGGGTGACTGGACCTGCAGCCACACCGCGGTTACCCGGAGGCCCGGACTCTGAGCTGGACACAGGCCGTCGGGCTCACAAATCCAAACACATTAGGGAACGAACAGGCTGCGGAGCAGCTCAGCGCCGGCCGGACAGCCTGTGGCCATGCTGTCAGCTGTCAGGGGCGGTTCAGCCCCAGGGAAACACTTCCCTTCTCTCACCCCACCTCCTCTGAGCAGCGGTCCGTTACAGCACCGAGGAATCACCTGTACTGCTTTGCCGCGTGGGAAGGGTTGGAGGGGCAAGAGTGCTTAGGAAAGGAGGCAAATTAGTAAAATCCTTTCGGAGGCATAACGTGTGACTTTTTCATTCCTGAGCGTTGTTTTCTGGGAGCGGCGGGCGTCCTTTCTCGCTCCTGCCCCTGTCCCAGCTCGGTCCAGAGTCCTCATGCATTAGCGAGGTATGCACAGCCGTCGCACAAGGTGACTGAGTTGTTATGTAATATTGTGCAACATTAAACAAGTCATGTATCACTGACATATCAATATTATGTATTTGTAGGTATGGACTGAAGCGGCACAAAGCACAATAACGATTCTTTACATTGGCAACTAGATAACTACTGACCACTGGGTTGAGTAGTTTTCATAAAATGATCTAATTAAGTTGTAACAATGAAATTTTGTATTTATTTAAATTGTTTTGATGTATAACTTTTAAATGCTTAGACATAGTATCAGGCCCCCATTTGTATTCTTGCCCAGGCTCTGCAATGCCAGGGTGAAGATAAAAGAGATCACCTACAACAGAAAAGCAAAACTGACAGTCTCAAGTAAATAGTAATAAAATTCAAACCAGAATTTAATATTCAGCAAAACTTTATTTCAAGGCTGAGGGCGGAATAAAGATATTTTCATACAAAGAGGAGCAGATTCCCAACAAAGCTTCACAAAAGGAGCCTTTGTGTTCGTGTGGCTACACGACTGTGACAGGCACTCGACGGAGGTGGTGCTGGCACAGGACTTCTAACACCCCAGGGCTGGTGTCGCGGTTGATGGCTGCTGTCCTCCATGAAGTAATTTAGGGACAAAAGCACACGTGACAAAAGGGAAAATTATATGAACTGAACTTTGCCAAAATTAAAAACTTTTCTGTTTCAAAGGACACAATGAAGAAAGTGAAAAGACAACCCACAGAATGAAAACATTTTTGCAAATTGTATATCTGATAAGGAGTGTGTAGAATATACAAAGGACACTTTCAACTCAATAATAAAAAGACAAACCAGTTATATAAAAAACGGGCAAAGGATTGAACCGACATTTCTCCAATAAAGATACACAGATGGCCAACAAGCACATGAAAGGATGCTCAGCATCATTAGTCATTAGAGAAGGGCAAAGCAAATCCATGAGATGCCACCTCATACCTGCTAGGGCGGCTAGAATAAAAAAGACAGACAATGCTGTGTTGGTGATGATGCGGAGAACGTGGAACCCTCATACTCTGCCTGTGGGAATGGAAGTTGATGCAGGCACTTTGGAAAAGTCGGGCAGTTCCTCAAAAGGTTAAAACATGAAGTCACCATGTGACCCAGCAATCCCACACTTAGGTATGCATGCCCAAGAGCAGTGAAAACGTATGTATACACAAAAATTTGTACATGAATGTTGATAGCATTATTCATAATAGCCAAAAAGTGGGGGACTAAAAGGTCCATCAGTTCATGAAAATGTGATCTATCCATACGGTGACACATTAGAATATGCAATGGGGTATTTATTACTGGGCAAGAAAAAGAAATGAAGTGTACCGGTACATGTCACGATGGGGGCAGACCTTCACAGGGGTCGCCTAAAACCATCGGAAAACATATTTTCGATGGTCTTAGGAACCAAGACACCGCTCCTCTATTTGTCTCCAGGCCCACATGCAGATACGCCCACATATGAGGACCCGGCAACCCCCGTGAAAGGGTTGTTCGACCCCCAAAGGGGTTGTGACCCACAGGTTGAGAACCGCTGCTATAAAGGGACAGGAAAACTGAAAACATGACAGGTGAGAGAGCCAGCGGATGGGTCAAAGACTGCACCACTGTCATCTAAAGGTGTGGCAGCAGCTGCCAGCCGCATGGAGAGAGGTGCGAGGTCTGGTGCAGCCATTTTGCCTGAGCAGCCAAGGTCCCTGCAAACAGACCTTGGTCACTGCAGGACTGGCACTCAGAGGTGGTCCTCACAGCCCCACCGGCTGCATTGTGCTGCTAGGTTAGGAACGGCGTGCTGGACTGTGCAGACTCCACCAGGAGGCTGACTTCAGGGGTCACTTCAGGGCACCCCTCCCCACCCCCCGGGCATACCTGTGAGAGACCCAGAGACCAGCAGCCAGTTTACAGAGTTCAGAACCCCAAAGGCTCCTTAATCTGCAGGTGGAATTGTCCCCAGTGGCAGGCCAGATGCCTGGGATGTCTCCAGAAGCCCAGCGACGCCCCTGGGCTTCAGCTCAGTTAAACCTTGAGGAGTCCAAGCCAGGCCTGTAGGGAAGCCTTTGAGGAGGGAGCCCCCCTTAACCCGAGACTGCTTCACGCAGTACTGGAGGGTGGGGTGGGGTAAAATTCCCCCCAAGGGAGGGCTGCCCTCCTCTGCCAACAAGCGACACTAGGTCTCACTGGACTGCCGCTTGGCCCTTTCGAACTCAGCGGCGGGATGTCAGGTTGCGTGAGAAGAAGGCCGGGGACCAGGCGGTCGGATCTTTGGAGAACTGGTCCCAGGCCCCGCGCCTTCGCTGGGAGGTGGCGCTGCTGACCCGGGTCAGCGAGGCTCTCGGGTTACTTCCCGGGACTTTGCGTTGCTTTGGCTCCGCCTGGGGGAGGAGGTCGGGTGGGCGACTCCCGACGCGAGGGGTGCCTCGCGGGGCCAGCACGCGCCGCCCTGGAAGCTCGGTCGCTCCGCCGCCGCGGTGAACGGAGCCCTGTGCTGAGTCTCGGCGCTTTTCCTGCGGGACCTCGATGCAGCGAGACGCCCGGGAGTCACCAGGGAGCTCCCTCAGGCCCCTGTGGAGGAGGGGGCGGAAGGTGCGGAGGGAGAACTGCGTGGGGTGGTGGTGATAGCGGGATGTGGGGGAGTGATGAGACGCGGAAAGGGTCGGGGTGGGGCTCGGGGAGTGGAGTGAGGAGCCCAGGGCCACCGGCCCAGCAGGCAGCAAACGCTGCAGCACAGAAACCATCCCCCGCCCCTGCGTCAAGGCCGTGGGCCGCTACTGGCTGTCACGCCGTGGGCGTCTTGACCTGTAGGTTGTCTGCATGACCAGCTGCAGAAACTCCTCAGTGTCAGGGGACGGACCAGCCTGAAGTCTGGGCACTCTGCAGGGATTTTCAGACTGTTTGGGCACATGGCAGCACCTCTCCCAACATTCTTTGAAAGTGCACACACCCCTTGCATGTACATTTCACTGGAGAAAACTATCATATGTTTATATGTGTATTTTCTGCCTCCGCCTCACTGACCTCCACAAAGGCTGGCTCGCCCGAGTATCTGAGGCAAGAGGGAGGCGCCTCCTCCTCCTCCTGGTCACCGTTCCCATGTCTCCCTTAGAAGGAGACATGCGTCTGCCCTGCAGGCCCACTCTTCCTCTGTGGAGACAGACCCTCGCCCACACTTCTCAGCAGTGAGGGCTGCGGCGCCCGCATCCGGCCCGCGTCCAGTGTGTAGGCCGACACGGTGACATACAGCTCGCTACGCCCGCCCTCGCTCTTCCGTGCAGCCCGCAAAGCCTGCCGTCCTCAGCCACCGTCCTGGGCCGTAGGCCGGACCGCCAACGGAAGCCCCAGGCTCAGTCCAGAGCGGCGTGCGGAACCTGGCGGGGCTGACGCGGGGACTCGCTACGCACCGCCTTCCCCGCCCCCTCCCCGCCCACCTCCTGTGCACGGCCCCGCCCCGCGCCTTCACCCATCTCCAGCCCCACCCCCGCCCCACGTCCTCACCCACCTCCGGCCCCGCCCTCTTCCCCGCCTCGCTCCTCAGGCCTGCCTCAGGTCTCCTCAGTACACTGTGCACCGCGGAGCCGCCGGGACACGCGGGGACTGACAGAGACGGCGCGATGGAGTCGAGTGGCGGCAACACGGAGCCCTCGGGCCGCGGCCCGCGGGTGCTGGTGGTGGGTGGCGGCATCGCGGGGCTGGGCGCGGCGCAGAGGCTCTGCGGCCACCCGACCTTCCGGCACCTACGGGTCCTGGAGGCCACCGCCCGCGCCGGAGGTCGCATCCGCTCGGAGCGCAGCTTCGGTAACGGCCTGTCCCGGAACTCCTTCCTGGAACCCTTTCCCAGGGCCGCTTCCTGGAGCCTAACCGGTGCTGCCTGAGCCCCGCCGCCTCCCGCCCGGCCTGCGCCCAGGCTTAACCGACCCGGAAGCCTCGCCTGGCCCCTGAGTGAATACCCGCTCCTACCCCTTAATCAGCCAAGTTCGCTGGTCCCCGAAGCTCCGCTGCCCGTAGTTAGCAGGGCCGGCCCCCGCCGGGGAAAGGTAACCTGTGAATGTACACAGTTGGCCCTGGATATGCTCCCAGACCCCCATGTAACCCTCCAGGGCCCTCCCAAGCAGGTGCAGGACAGCACCGCCCCCTCAGGTGTTCCCCTTAAATTAGGTCTGACCAGGCCTTTCCATGAGGGACTGTGGTCTTCAGGGACCCTGTGGCGCTTGGGCTGGTTTTCAGAACATATTTGGAAAGGGCAGGGCTGGCTGTGGTCCAGGAGAGCTCAGGGGTCACCTTTGGGGGAGAGAACCTCAAGGTGGCATCTTGTGTCCCCTCCCAGGTGGTGTGGTGGAGGTAGGCGCCCACTGGATCCACGGGCCCTCCCAGGGCAACCCCGTCTTTCAGCTGGCTGCCAAGTACGGGCTGCTGGGGGACAAGGAGTTGTCAGAGGAGAACCAGCTGATTGAGACTGGGGGTCACTTGAACCTGCCCTCCGTGTCCTATGCCAGCTCCGGGGTAAGTGTGAGCCTTGAGCTGGTGGCAGAGATGGGCAGTCTGTTCTACAGCCTCATAGACCAGACCCGGGAGTTCCTGCATGCAGCCCAGGCCCCAGCGCCCAGTGTGGGGGAGTACCTCAAGATGGAAGTCAGTCAGCACATGGCCAGCTGGACCGAGGATGAGGAGACCAAGAAGCTCAAGCTGGCCATTCTCAACAACTTCTTCAACGTGGAGTGCTGTGTGAGTGGCACCCACAGCATGGACCTGGTGGCCCTCGCGCCCTTCGGGGAGTACACTGTGCTGCCAGGGCTGGACTGCACTTTTCCTGGGTACGTGCATGCTGTACCCACCCAGTCAACCCTCCACACAACCTGGGCCCCCTACACCACCCCGAGCCCACTCTATGCACCTCGGGTTCCCTCCATGCACCCCTTACCCCCTCCATGCACCCCAGTCTCCCCCATGTACGCCGGGCCCCCTCCCAGCACCACACGTTCCCTCTGTGCACCCCGGACCCCTCCATGTACCCCAGGTCAAGGTTTGGGAGGCAGGGGAGGTGTGGGAGAGACCAGGGGACCTTTTTCTTCCCTGTTTTAGAGAGATTGGTCATTTGTTTCCCTAGTTGTGCTCATTTAAGAAAAAGGAAAGAATTATTTTCAAGAAAAAGTGATGAATGAAGGAATCGCATCTTGTATGCTTTCTCCCCCCATGTTTGCAAGGCCCCCTGTGTGCTCAGTGCTGTATGAAGGCTTCAGCCTCCGGTGGGCGGACAGGCCCTTCCTTGTGGCAGGGTGGCTGTCCCTCAGCTGGTATTTGGGAGACACTTGCAGGACTGTCCTGCGGGTCTCTCCCAGGTGTCACCCTGGCATTGTCACTCCAGGGCTCCTGCACAGGGGAGGGCCTTTGTGATTGTAACGACAGAACTGGAGTGCAGGCAGGAGGGGGGGGCCTTGCTCTTTATCTTGGGAGCTTGGAGCCCGTTTGCTCTTTGATCCTCTCATTAGCCGTGGAGGCGGGGATTAACATTCCTGTGGTGGGTCAGAAACCGCAGGGGCAGCCGGTCGCCCACGCCCTCCCTGCGTCCTGCGCCGCCCCAGCCCAGGTCGGCTCCTGGGCGCTGGCGGGAGCTCCGAGGCTACTTCAGCGTCTGGTCCGCAGGCTGGGCTTCTAAGCAGCGCCATCTCTGTCTCTCCTAGGGGCTACCAAGGACTCACCGACCGCATAGCTGCCTCCTTGCCCCAGGACGTGATGGTTTTTAACAAGCCCGTGAAGACCCTTCACTGGAACGGCTCCTTCCAGGAAGCCGGGTCTCCCGGGGAGACGTTTCCCGTGTTGGTGGAGTGTGAGGACGGAGGCTGCTTCCCAGCCCATCACGTGGTCCTCACCGTGCCCTTAGGTAGAGCCACGCCTCCCCGCCCCAGGTGTCCCTGGCCTCTGTCTTTCTCTCCTTAAGCTCACCTTTTCATTTAAGTTTTGGGTAGACTTACTCTATTGTGTTTTGTAGCATGGCAAGTCAGCCGCCCTGGTCCTTTGGAGGTAATTTAAGGAAAGGTTGGGAGGCCTCCGGAGGGAGGTTCCCCTGGGAGAGAGTGGGATCGCCTCTAGAGGTCGGTCTGAAGTAGTCGAGGAAGCAGTCACACAGAGAATTCTGTTTAGGTCTAGATCCGACAGGATTAGACAGGAGGTTTGAGTAGGAGGTGACAATTTGATGAAAGGTGGAGATGGTTGAAGTCCTGCCTGCGTTATTTACTCCTCAGGCAGCTTGGGGACTTACCTGTCCCATCCCCTGTTTGAGAAATTTCAACAGAGAGAAGTCAATTGCCCAAATTCACCAAATAAGCAGGTGTCAGAGCCAGTGTGAGATGAAGTGCCTCCCTTATTCTCCCTCCCACCCTGGTGGTGGTGTGTCCTTTCAGAAAGGTTGGGTGTGGCAAGCCCACTCAGCCCCCAGCTCCTTTGTCCACAAATGGAATTATCTAGACCAGGGGTAGGTAAACTTTTGAGACGGAAGACCGGCAGGGGTCAGCAAACTGAGGCTCGCCAGCCGCAGGCCCTGAAGTAAAATTGAAAATGAAAGTAAAACTATCATAGTTTCATTTATAAAAATTTTAAAGGATATTGTTCACATAATGGTGATTATGTAAAAATATATTTATAGCTCTCGAACAATTTTTAAATTGTCATGAGGGACAGGATTGGCTCTTCCAGGGGTCGGCAAACTTTTGAGACAGAACGTACCGAAAGAGCCACATGTGGCTTGGGAGCCGCAGTTTGCGGACCCCTGAAT